AATTTAAATTAATAAAAGTCTATAAAAATTTAATTAAAAATTAAAAGTTATAATCATGATACAGAATTATGATGAGTAAATTTTGAAGTGAAAGAAAAGAGTTCAGAATTACGTGATGATATATGTTTTAATTTTTATAATATAATTTGGTTTAAATAAAAACGGTTGGGTTTTTTAATTGATTAAATTATAAAAATATTATAATTTAATTAATTTAAAAAATCTATCTCTTATTACAGCCGTACCTCTCAAGTCAATTGTACCTAATCATCCTATTAAGTTTATGGAAGTGGACTCTTACCATTTTCATTTCCTATACCACTTTATTTTCAACTCATATTCTCTGAATGAGCCAACGAAGGAAGTGACTTTCAGGTAACAATGCGACATTGTTCTCCTAATTTTTTTTGGAATCCGGTATAATGTAGCCATATTGAATCTCAATACCCAACACATTTTTCTTTTGTTCGAATTCCAAATCTTATTTAAGAAAAATAAACTCCTTTTAATCTTCTCGAGAAAAAAACAAAAACATAAAAAAAGGGGGGTTTTTCCCAAAAACAAGCGAGAGAAAACAAATTAAGCAATTTTTTTGACATTTGGTAAAAGCTAAGCCCCAGTTAGTCCTTAAGCATTCAGTCTAATTTTCTAATTAACATACGTATCTCACTAATCTTCCAGAACCAACCCGCAACGAAGTAATCGCCAAACAAAACTTTTCTCAGATTCAGATTTCTCGCACTCCAAATAAAAACCCGAATTCCATACCGTTTCTCCAATCTCCATTTCTTTCCTCTCTCCCTCTCTGGATCCGAACACCATTCAGAATTCTAGACAGTTTTTGAATTCTTCCTCTGTTGGAATTCTGCGTATTCATTGTTGGATCAAAACCGATGGCGTCCGAGCAATTGATGTCCGGCACCGGCCACCGCTACCACTCGATACAGGAACCATCGCCTACGAAGATGTCTTCCTTCTTCTCCTTCTCCACTGCTCCCGCTCCCGAGACCTCTCGTATTTTCGACGAGTTGCCCAAGGCTACGATCGTCTCCGTCTCCAGGCCTGATGCTGCCGATATCAGCCCCATTCTATTGACCTACACAATCCAGTTTCGGTACAAGCAGGTTTGTTTCTTATCCTTCTTCGTCAATCTCTCTAAATTACGTTCTCTTCACGTGTTAGATCTTTTCTCCTGCTTGATTCATCGCTTGTAATTTTGAAATTTGAATATTGGTTTATCATATGCATAAATAGCTTGATCTTCCTCATTGAACGAAATGTGAGCTAGAGATAGAGGCTTTAGTTGTATGTCTGTGATACATTTTGAATTTGCTCTTAAAGCTGTTAAAACGTTCAGTTTGCACTTATTAACATTATTACCGGTTTTTTTCTTTAGAAAGCTGCAGTTCATGACTGAGAATTGATTATTTAGGAAGAGTGTTATCCTCATTGGATCATTTGGATTGGATGCAGTGGGAAAACCAGGGATTTTTTTTTTATTTTTTTATCTATTTTAAATATATATATTTATATATATATATATATATATATATATAGAATGTGATTTACCTGTTCACTTTGTCTTACCGTCTGCTATTTAGTTTTCTCATGGTGAAATCACTCTCTAAAATTAGTTAATTGCTTAGGCTTCTCGGTATGGAAATCATCCTGCTATGAGCTGAAGATGTTTTTGTCTTGATTTTCTTGAAATCACAGGCCTATGTCCTCTTATTTTAACTGCATCTTCTATTTCTTACTTACATGATCATAGCCAACCTTTATGTTTGGCCAACTAATTTCATGTGTTAATTCACCAGTTCAAATGGCGGTTAGTGAAGAAAGCTTCTCATGTTTTTTATCTACACTTTGCCTTGAAGAAACGCTTGTTATTTGAAGAAATTCATGAGAAGCAAGAACAGGTTTGCATATAAGATTATACTTTTCTTTATTCTTGTTTATACTTATTGCAGTTTGATTTCTTTTTCTCTGTTAACTGTAGTTGCTTGTTTGGGAAGATTTAGGGTTTTGATATGGTTTTGATTGTAACATAACATTATCATATCAAAGGTTAAAGAATGGCTTCAAAATCTAGGAATAGGGGATAACACACCAGTTGTGCATGATGAAGATGAACCAGATGATGATCCTGTTCCTTTACATCATGAAGAAAGTGTTAGAAACAGGTGCTAACTGAATTCACAAAACTGAAGCCAAGCATGAAATACATGCTATTGTTTGTTGTTACTGAGTCTTTATTGCCAATACAAAATAGTCCTTATTCTTCCAAGTGAACTTGTATTCAGGGATGTTCCATCTAGTGCTGCTCTTGGGGTCATTCGGCCAGTCCTTGTGAGGCAGTCCTCAATGTCAGACAGAGCAAAAGTTGCAATGCAAGAGTATTTGAATCATTTTCTGGGAAACTTGGATATTGTCAACTCTCGAGAGGTATGTTTGTGACTTCTTGTTAACATTAACATCCCAGTGTTTGATAATTGTTCACCTTATTAATATTATCTAACTGAGACTCAAATTTACTCCAGGTTTTCCTGTTTTCTATTCTGCTAGTTAATATTCTGTCTTTCGTTGGAATATTTTTTAAAAAGAACTGTGAAGGTGATCCATTGATGAGTTATTAAACTGTAACCAATTTTATAATATTCAATGAAGTCACTGTCATTGGTTAAAACTTCTAATTATGTCAGCCTGGTAAGTTCCTTTTTTTTTATACAATGATGGACTAGATAAACTTCCCTAGTCCTAGCTGCCTTTTTGACATTGCTGGTTGAGGAGGATGTTGATCTTAGTTAATAAATCCCTATATTGCATATGTAATGTGAAACTTAAGGTTCACAGTTTAGTCACAACATGCATTTCACTCTGTATGAGTGAGTTTTTGTGCATCTTTCTTTTTTTTTTTTTTGTACCTACTTTACTAGTATTTCTTACATTTCTGTCTTGCAGGTTTGCAAGTTCTTGGAGGTTTCAACGTTGTCATTCTTGCCAGAGTATGGCCCTAAGCTGAAGGAAGATTATGTAATGGTGAAGCATCTACCAAAAATTGCTAAGGATGATGATTCTAAAAAATGTTGTGCATGCAGTTGGTTTGATTGTTGTAATGACAACTGGCAACGGGTAATGTAATCTCATTTCTTAAAGTCAGGTTTACAGTTAACTTTATGGCATTTAGTTCCAGACTTATGTATTGGGTAAAAGCCATGATAAACCATATTTAATGGGTATTACTTCAAGTCACTTTGTGTTACCTTAATAAAATGTCTCACTTGAAAGGTCTACATTGAGATAAAAGCTATATAAAGTAGAGATGTTTGGAAGGGTTAAGGTTTCTGGTAAAAGCTAAGTAATTTACAACATTGGGAAATTTGTTTCAAGAGTTTTTGAAAGATAATAACATTATCTGCAGTAGGTTTGAATCTTTTGATGGATTATTGGGGGTTAAGAATATATGAGGGTTTGGGTTTTATAAGGTAAATGGGAAGGTTGGTTTCGGCTGAAGATGGCATAAATACCATTGGCACTAGGTGCACTCTTTAGTTTGGAGAGAGGTGCCTTGAACATCAACGGGGGCTGTTTTTACTGATTTTAGGCTGGTCAGACTTTATTTATTATTAAGGATATTACTGCAATCAGTTTGTTGAAGTGCTATTGCTCAAGGAACCATCTGATGTTATGCTTGATGACTTGTATTCCCTTTTTTTTTGGGTTCTGGGGCAGGGCAGGGGAGATGAGGTTGAGACTTATTTTCTATTTTTCATTAACACCACTTTATGTGTATACATGGATTCATCACGTCTTCAATTTCAATAATATGAGTCAACTTTATCAATTAACCCAAATTTTATTGTTCCTATCTCTTATGCAGGTGTGGGCTGTACTAAAGCCTGGATTCTTGGCCTTGCTAAGAGATCCTTTTGATACCAAACCTTTGGATATAATTGTTTTTGATGTGCTACCAGCTTCAGATGGTAATGGCGAGGGCCGAGTTTCATTAGCAGCAGAAGTAAAGGAACGTAATCCTTTGCGCCATGCATTTAAAGTAAGTAGCATATTTTTTATGAAATGAATTCTTCTCGCTGATATATGGATCAGTATGTAGTTAATTTTTTCTGTGAGTAAAACAACTTGGAAGCAAACTACGACACCTTTTTCCTTTTAAGTTAGAACTTTGGATGCTTCTAGCATTTGAACTGTGTTTTGCGGGTTTGTTAAGTATCTTTCCTGAATTGGTTGGTCTGAGTTGTATGTCTGATGAATATATCCAGTGAAATTCAATTTCTAACTGGTAACTGGGAACTGCAAGGTCACATGTGGAAACAGAAGCATAAGGATACGAACCAAGACTGGTGCCAAAGTTAAGGATTGGGTTGCTGCAATTAATGATGCGGGCCTTAGGCCTCCTGAGGGTTGGTGTCATCCTCATCGTTATGGCTCATTTGCTCCTCCTAGGGGTTTGGCAGAAGATGGTAGTCAGGCTCAGTGGTTCATTGATGGTATGGCAGCATTTGATGCTATTGCTTCATCAATTGAGGATGCTAAATCAGAGGTCCGTGCATTATCACATAGCACTCAGAACTTTGTACTTCACACTAATTATTTTACTCTCTAGTTTAGAGGAACAAAACTTGGCATCCATTAGGAAGCTAATCCTTTTACCATCTAGTATCAAGTACCTGTTAGATTATTGATTGGAAATTTAATGCAGATATTTATTTGTGGCTGGTGGCTTTGCCCGGAACTCTATCTACGCCGTCCTTTTCATGCTCATGCTTCTTCCCGGCTTGATGCTTTGTTAGAAGCCAAAGCTAGGCAAGGGGTTCAGGTACCGATCATTTATTTTTCATAATATAAATTCAAGCGCTTGCAAGATCTTGACAGTTAAATTACCTTTTGCCAGTAACATTAGTGGACAAGCATCCTTCATTGTTGGCCATGTAGATGAATCTTCATGGAATGAATAAAAGCATCTCTATTGCTTTTTTACTTTTTTTTTTCAAATAATTGGAATAACCAGAGCATATCATTAAGACTTGCATAAAAATGTTTACATGTCAGCCAGACAGTTCTTTTCCACTTCTCTTCTGTCTCTGCATTTCCTGTCAGAATATCGAACTATTGCTCACTGCATACTCCATCATCTTGTTGTGATACAGAAATTATAACTCTGATATGATGGGCTTATGGTTGCAGATATATATCCTTCTCTACAAAGAAGTAGCTATTGCTTTAAAAATCAACAGTGTATATAGCAAGAAGAAGCTTCTCAGAATTCATGAGAATGTAAGGGTATTGCGCTATCCCGACCACTTCTCTAGTGGTGTTTACTTGTGGTATGTTTTACTTGGACAATTGAGTACACAGTGGTTTGCTTTTAACTTTTTTATTATTATATTGATTCTTTCATATTTAGATGTATATTTCTCTATGCATGTAGGTCCCATCATGAAAAGCTTGTAATTGTTGATCACAATATTTGTTTTATTGGAGGACTTGATTTATGTTTTGGTCGCTATGACACATCTGAACACAAAGTGGGTGACAGACCTCCTTTAACATGGCCTGGAAAGGACTATTATAACCCAAGGTAAGCTTCTAAGTTTAAGCAGATGTCCTCTTTCAAACAATTGGCTGAAGTTGCAATTGATTTGCTTCTGCTTAAAATAATTAGCAGTTTGAAGATCTGAGTTTGTGGGTAGAAATTCCATTTCATTGTCATTTGTCAAAATACTCTTCATTGTGTCTGGCAAGCCAACTAGGTGTTCTGGGTTTTTTTCCCTTAGAGACAAAAGGGAAATGGGTTTTTTTTTGGTTAATTATGCTCAGTTCAGTTCTGGCATTTGTTGGATGCATCACACATTCTGAATTCTTCTCTCTCTCTTAGGGAATCTGAACCAAATTCATGGGAAGATACAATGAAAGATGAGTTGGATCGTGGAAAATACCCTCGAATGCCTTGGCATGACGTCCATTGTGCCCTTTGGGGACCATCCTGTCGGGATATTGCACGGCACTTTGTTCAGCGATGGAACTATGCAAAGGTTTGTGCTTTGCTGGAATTACTGTAGCCTGTTTTCGCCTTAACTTAATCCTGGTTTGCGTCCTTTTTTCAGAGAAATAAAGCTCCCTATGAGGAAGCAATTCCACTACTCATGCCTCAGCAGCACATGGTTATTCCACATTATTTGGGTAGAAATCAAGAGACAGAATCAGAGAGTAAGACATTTGAAGATAATTCAAAGAACATGAAAAGACAGGATTCCTTTTCTTCTAGATCGTCTTACCAAGATATTCCACTACTTTTGCCTCAAGAGCCAGAGGAATTGAGTAGTTCCCATGGATCTCCAATGTCAGTTGGGTTGGATACTACTACGAGAAAAGGTGTTTCTTTTGCGTTCCGAAAGTCAAAAACAGAACCCTTGGTTGCAGATACGCCGATGAAGGGCTTTGTAGATGACCTCGATGCCTTGAATATTGGTAAAAAACCCCCAGATCTTAAGAAGCAGCTTACTACCAACCTAGAGTGGTGGGAAACACAGGAGCGGGGTGATCAGGTCAGTTTAATAGAGGAAGATGGATCAGTTGGTCCACAGACGTCATGTCGTTGTCAGGTGAGTTGTAAACTCATGAAGTAGGTTGAAATTCTAACATTCTTGGTAAAACATAACCAACATAATTTGGGATTTCTTACAACATTGGCAATTTACACTAGTTTCTTGTGTATCCTTAACTTATTTCTGGTCTATAGAAAGACCAATTCCACATATCAATTAAGTCTGTTGAAACAGGGAAATATAGTGTTTGTAAACAGTGACAGGTGGCTCCTGTGTTCTCTTATGTTTGCCCTCAATCTTAGTTCTGCAAAGTGTTTTTGGTGTGTGAGTGCATGTTGATATGGATTTGGTTTCGGGTTTATTTGGGTTATTTCTTTCAGCTTTGGTTCACTAGATTATGAATCTCTTTTCAGGCCTTGTTGTTTCCCTTGTTTAATTAGTTGCCTCATGGAATTCCACATGGCATGATTGATAAATTTATTGTGTTCTTCAGTCAATTCTACAAGCTACAACATTACTGATAATGCTGATTTTATGTCTTCTATTATACTCGTTAGGGGTTTCAAATAAAGCAGACATTAGTAAGTGTTACAAAAGATGTTAAGTTCTTATCTTCAGGCAAAGATAAGTGGAAAATGATTAATGGAATTAAAGTTTAAATTCACCCATAGTTTATGCTATTTTAGCACCAGGAGTTAGTTCATTTCTGCTACAGGAGTTTCTGTTGTTTCCTTAAGAAAGGGTGGTCCTGTATATATTCTGTGGCTAGTTTATAGTATGCACAAAATTAATATGTATTAATCATTTTTCTTACTATTATTCTGCCATAATTGTTTATGGTTGAGAATCTTTCAGGTTATAGTGAGTGTCAATTGGTGATGACCTCTCATTCATATATTGTTGACAGATTATAAGGAGTGTCAGTCAATGGTCTGCTGGAACCAGCCAAATTGAAGAGAGCATTCACTGTGCTTATTGTTCTCTCATTGAAAAAGCAGAACACTTCATCTATATTGAGGTACTTCCCGTTCTTTCCTATTCTTTTTTTTTTTTTTTTCATTTGCTGCAGATACTAATATGACTAGAGATCATATTAGTAATTTACAAATCATCATATTTTATCATAAACCCAAGTCTTGAGAAACATTTCGAGAAGCCTGCTTTATGCAAAATTCTACCCATTTATGTTGTAACCTACAGACACTGGCTCTGAGGTTTGAAAAGTCACCACGTGTGCTTATGCATTTTTCTCTCCATGTCAAGTCATGCACTTTATTTTGGATGGCATGTCAAAGTCATGCATTGAAGAGTCGTATAGTACAGAAACATTTTCATTTCTAATGTCTGATTGTAAAGGTGTGTCTAGGATCTATGGGAAGCAATTAAATCAAGGCAGTTTCTTTTAGTCAATAGAAGTCTGGAATTTGAGTAGTTGGTTAGATTATCCTTTTAAATTTGTCAGTCCCCTTAATGTATATTGATAATGACAAAGATGTTTAAAGGCTTTGATTATTTCACTTTGTAGCATATTTAGCAACATTTATCTGGTTATTAGGATCCCAAAGTTTTGATTATGCACTTTATTCTCATGACTGTTGCTTGATTCTTGGGCAACCTTTGCAGAATCAATTTTTCATATCAGGTCTTTCAGGGGATGAAGTTATACGGAATCGTGTGCTAGAAGCATTATACCGCCGTATTCTACGGGCATACAATGATAACAAGTGTTTCAGGGTTATTGTTGTCATACCACTGCTTCCTGGGTTCCAGGTTTTTATTTGTGACTAATACTCATTAACTTTGTGTTCAAATAATGATTCATATATTTAAACTAATTTGAAAGTTTAACAGGGTGGCATTGATGATAGTGGGGCTGCATCAGTAAGAGCTATAATGCATTGGCAGTATCGAACTATATGCAGAGGACAAGAGTCAATATTGCATAGCCTTTCTGAACTTCTTGGTCCTAAAGCTCATGATTACATTTCTTTTTATGGTCTGAGAGCATATGGTAACCTTTGTGATGGTGGTCCTGTTGCCACCAGTCAGGTGTTTTCTTGCACTCTACTGTTACCATCTTTCACAATCATTTTCAACGTTGTTTAGATTTCCATGCTGCATTATGATGCTTTATCAACTTAATGGTGAAAGTTTCTTCAGTGATAATGATGATAGTCAATGCTGATGCATAAGAAGATCATGTCTTTTCAGGTATATGTGCATAGTAAAATCATGATTATTGATGACTGTGCAACCTTGATTGGATCAGCTAACATCAATGATAGGAGCCTGCTAGGTTCAAGAGATTCTGAGGTATTAGTTTATTCAAGGAACCATTCTTCTATATTATGCTCTAATTCTTGTTGGCTGAATTGATGGAGGAAAATTTAGTTCAATCATCCAGCTTGACTGAAAAACACTTATCCTCACCTAATTATTTACTTGCTGCATGTTTCTCTCCTACCCTGTTTCATATTTGATTATTTGTGTTGCTTATTCAAGAAAGTTATTTTGACTTCACTAAATAATTGTTTCCAGATTGGGGTGCTTATTGAAGACAAAGAATTAGTTGATTCATGTATGGGGGGGAAACCATGGAAGGCTGGAAAATTTGCTTTGAGTCTTCGCCTCTCATTGTGGTCTGAACACCTTGGTCTCCACCAAGGAGAGGTTTGTGAGCCATTATCCATTTCTGTTAAAGTCTCAAGGTATCATTAGTTAACCAGACTAGATTCGGCTGATATTACCCTTTCTTTTTGGCCTTTCTGCATCAGGTGAATCAGATAATTGACCCAATAAGTGATTCAACTTATAGAGATATATGGGTTGCAACTGCAAAGGTAATAACTAGGCAAAAACCCTTCTTAAGCCCCCAAACTTACCCCAAATTAGCATTTAAGCCCCTAAAGTAAAAACGAAGTAAATAAGCCTTCTGACTCCACTAACAAAGCAAATAAGCCCTTCTGGTTCGTTTAATATCACCTTGAAAGCATGAACACCCATGAATGAGAAGGGATTATTTGCATCGTTAGTGGAGTTAGAGGGCTTATCTGCTTAAATGCTTTGTTTTTGCCTAAGAACTAATATTATTATCAACTTTCATATTCACTTTGATTTAAAAATTTTTCTGCAATAATCTGAGTTGGTTGGACAATTTGCTAGAAAAAGGTGAAGCTAATGAAAATGCATTTTACAGAGACCTTATATGTATTGCAACTGCTCAATTTCAGCAGACATTCATAACTTTCAACATTAAAGGAATTATGTGCAAAGGGGAAAAAAAGTCTGCATACTTGCAAGCAAATAACTTATATAAATATATATATAAATTATAATTTATAATTATAAAAAAATAGATTTCCAGGAATGTGATTTGTCAGAGTTGTGTTAAGAATTTCTCATTTTTGTATTTGGTTTTGAATTCTTACTGGTGGTAACAAATTCATTTTCCAGATGAATACCACAATCTATCAGGATGTCTTTTCTTGTGTACCCAGTGATCTCATACATTCCAGGTACAAGAAATTCGCATCTGACTCCTTGCTTTCCTCTTTCCATTATGCAAAAGACATCTATTTCACTTGTAATTGCATGCAGATTTGCATTCAGACAAAGTATGGCGTCCCTGAAGGAAAAACTCAGTCACAGTACAATTGATTTTGGAATAGCCCCTGAGAAGATAGAAACATACCTAAATGGAGTTGTCAAACAAACAGATCCCATGGATAGATTAAAGTCGGTGAGGGGACATCTTGTTTCTTTCCCATTAGATTTTATGTGCGAAGAAGATTTAAGACCCGTGTTTAATGAGAGTGAATATTATGCCTCTCCTCATGTTTTTCATTAGTGGGAAGTTAACCAAGCCCCATTATTTTCATTTCAACTCAATCTGCTCCAAACTTCCCTCATTGTTTTTCTTTCCCCTAACAAAATTGCACATAGAGAAGAGAGAGAATAGAGGGAGCTCTATGTATTTTTCTTTTCTTTTGCTCTCTCAAATGTATCTTTTTTGTAAATGTCTACATTCTTTCTTTTATTTGTCTCCATCTGAGTTAGTAATTAGCCAGAAGAGTCAAAAGTTAGAATCCCCCATAACACTCCCTTAGAATGTTCTTTTTCACCAAGTTTGAGTGGAGCCTTACCGGCTTCCAAAAATTGACGAGCCAGTGCTGCCCCCATAACACTCCTTTAGAATGTTCTTTTTCACTAAGCTTGAGTGGAGCCTTACCGGCTTCCAAAAATTGACGAGCCAGTGCTGCCAAAGTAGGACAGCTCCAGCTCGCCTTGAACAATTGCGTTCAAAGGGTGTTGGCACGACCCGTCATCACTTACCGTTCATAGACGAGTCATCCTACTCCCCTGACAGGACGAGTTGCTGATTGTACTCGCTTCCAACCCTTACTTATAACCTGCTCTCAACCCATTTCCTTCTTCGATAGCGATGTGGGACTACTATTGCTTGTCTCATTTGATTTCTCCTCTCAGAAAATATAAATCTGCCAGGGAAACTAATATTTTAGAACTTTTTATAGATATATGAACTTTTTTTTTTTTAAACAAGCAAAAAGAGATTCATAATATCCTTATGGTTAAATATCCTTTTTGGTCCTTAAAATTTGAAATTCAATTTCTTTTTAGTTTTTTTGTTAAGTTTTGGTTAACGTAATAGGTTAATTATTGGAATATTTTATTTTATTTTTACTTAAATTACATGAAAAATACATTTGATAAAAATTGATGACATGATCAAATTTTTTATCTAATATAACCTTAAAAATCATTTAATTATATATTTGTCATTATAGATATTTTAAAGGTTATTTTGTGATTAGGAGTATTTAACTTTAATTACTAATTTGCCACCCTCATCTTACCCCTTTTGTCTCATCCTTTCCTTCCTTCAGATTGAACCCAAGCATCGGGTTCATCGTGAATCCATGTGTCGGGTTCGTGACCTTGGGTCCCTCCCATATTGTCGTGTTGCTATCGCCGGGTTTGTCGCGAAGGCAAAATATCCAAATCCACCCCCAAAGTGTAGTGGCAGGGACGGATCCACCCTCGAACAAAAAACGGGGACAAATCCACCCACAAAGTTTTTGACTTGGATAAATCACATCAAATTTAACGTATGACGTCATTTGACATTAGTAATCTGTTAATTTGACGTCATCTGACGTCAGCAATCCGTTAACGAATTAACGAATTGCTGATATCAAATTATGTCACACGTTAAATTTGGAGTGATTTGTCCAAGTCGAAAACTTTGTGGGTGGATTTGTTCTCGTTTTTTGTTTGAGGGTAGATCCGTCCCTATTACTATACTTTGGGGGTGGATTTGGGTATTTTGCCTGTCGCAAATCCATGTGTCAGGTTCGCAACCCTGTGTTCCTTGCAAACCTAGGCACCTGGGTTCCTTTCGTATTGCTATGTTGCTATTGTCGAGTTCGTCACGAACCCAAGTCCCTAGGTTCCTCGCAAACTTAGGCCCCTGGGTTCCTCATGTGATACTATGTTGCTATCATTTTTTTGTTTAGATCTTTGATTATGTGAAATTGGCTGTGAAACCTAGATTTGTGTTGTTGTGTTGTTATTATTTTTTTGTTTAGATATTTGATTATGAGAAATTGTTGATCTAGTATTTGTCTTTTTCTTGATTTGGAATGTCTACATGGGAAAAGATTGAACGATGAACAAGGGATAAGGTTAATTTTGAAATTTTAGTTTTCATAAATAACATGTTATGTGTAATGTCTACATAGGATGATACATTATTTTTTATTTTTATATTTTCCATTTCATTTATATAAAGAAAATAAATTAGACAATTCCGTTAATTAACTTACTACATTAGTCAAAATTTAGCGGAAAAATTAAATAAGGATTGAATTTCAAACTTTAAGGATTAAAATGAGGATTTTTTTGGTATAAGGTCTAAAAAGTGACTTTTTCTTATAGTAGAGGGACAAAAATGATATTTAACATATCCTTCTTTAAGGATACAAGTAAAGGGTCGGCGAAAAAAAAAAAAAGGATATAAGTAAAAAATCAGCGATGCAGTATTTTTTTCATATATCTTACTAGCTCTTGGATCGACATCCCTAATTCTAAAATCTTAGGGGTAACATCCAAAAGAGAGTGGCCATAAGCAATAATTCTCTATTGATTTCGACAGAAAAATATAAAATCCAAATGGCAACTGATGCCATAATTTCTTTGACGTTTAGTCTTGTAACAACACTTCATTAGAGCTACTGGCTTCATCCTTTTTCAGTTCCTCCATTAACAATTCCATCATTTTCTTATACATGGGCATGTAATGATCATTAATCATTGTTCTTGAAAGTCGGATGTTACTGTACAATTCTCTAGGTGTCTCATATATACCAACATGTTCTTCACTGGGGGCTGCATTGGGGTCTAGGTTAGTGACTTCAGTTGAAGGTACAGAAATCATATGCATGATTCTCCCAGGGGGATAGAACCGAAGGCTCTCTGAAATATCTGGGGAAGAGATCGTGCTTTCAGTTCCCATATCAGCCAGAACTTTATCCTCTTCAGTGATTTCAGCTGCTGTTGTTGCTTCTTCCGCCTCGGCCTGAAGATTAACTTCACTCTTCTGCCTCTTGAGCTCCTTCTCTAGTTCGTACCACAACTCACCTTCAGTGATCTCATCCATGGTGGTCGTAGTCACGATTCTATTCTCCACAATCAGTGGCTCATCTTCATCTGTGTCATCATTCACCCAATCAGCACTTGAATTGTTTTCCAATTCATTGTCTGTTACTACCACTTCAGCCACAAGGGCTTCAGAACTTCTTTCAGTAATTACTGAAGCTTCTGGCAAATCCTCCTCTTTAGAGTTCAATGGTGGGACCACAGTACGGCGACGGGGACCCATGCAAGACCATGATGATAGAGATGAGCGGCTTCTAACAACAGCTTGAGCGACATTCTGTGCGCCTTTCATCACAACCTACAATTTACAATAAGAGGGTAGTCAATTGTTAGATCAGCCTCATAAGAGCGAGTAGTCAATTGTTTACAATGTAGATGTCTACCTTAGTACTGCTGGAAACAGGCCTTAGGAGTGCACCAGCACCAGCAACTCTTGCCTTTGCACTAGCAATAGATGGCAGCCTAGAACCCAAAGCTGTTGCAGAGCGGAAAACAACACTTAGGACCCGAGTTTGTTGAACCTGATCCCGTAAATCATTTAACCAAGATGATGCCGTGACCTGATAACAACAATTGTGAATAAAGAATAACCAAATGTATCAGATGTTGCTTTTAAGGTAGGAGAAAGAGACCAGCACCTCAGAACGAAGGTCATCGACAGAAGTAGCCGAGAATGTAGGCACAAGGTCAGATCCATTGATGATGGTAGTAATGAAGTGCTTGCCTGATTCTGCTAAATCCCATGTCATACAGGCAGCTGCAAAATGTAACTTTAAGGATTTAGGGAGCACTTAGAAGGAAAAATGAAAGCCTTAAACAAGATTTCCATGTCAATCCTTTGTCAAAAGGTATGCCTTGAGCAAGTAAAAAACAAGAAAATTACTGAATTTCATATCCATCTCTTTTCTTTATCTCTTGCAGCACATCACAGTAGAAGAACTAAAGAAAAGGATTAGTTCCCCAGGCCATTATTGGCAATTTGAGAAAGGAACTTGGTTAAGAATGGGAATTGTTTCAAAAACCACATTCTCATGAAAACAAATTTCCTGATTCATGTCATTTGGTAGGCAAAATTGAGATTTCTTAATTACAAAAATTCCTCTGATTTTTCTAACTTAAAATGCTTATGTTGAGATTTTCCTCCATAAAAAAGCAAGAATTTAGGACCCTTACCAGGGGCAAATGTCACACATGTGCTAGAGGAGAACTCTTTTTGTTCTCTAAGAATGTATGTTAACAGCGCAGCAGTGCCACCACCAAGTGAATGGCCAACAATCTAAAACCAAAACAAAACATTGGATACAAAGATCACAGACAGAGACCAACCTAGAGCACAGAAATTCCAATGCAACGCATTCCGAATAAAACATGTGTGCAGGAAAAAGGAGTCCATAGATAACAAAAAAACCAGATATGAGGCACACACAAAACTAGACTAATCAACATATCAGCTGAATTTATTGCCTTATCAGTTAAAACTACTGGCTTCAGCTGAATGCAATTCATTTTCTACCTATGTCTTGTTTTTGTTGAGTTAATCCAGTAAATTGGAAAGAAACCTCAAAACACTACTTTAGAAGTTGAACATGGTATCTCATCTAATTCATTATTTCATACGAAAGTCTACATTTAAAGTTTATCTTGAAGTTACAAGTGCATAATTCATCACATATAAGCAGAGAAAATGTGACATGTTTCTGTAACAAGAGAAGATGCTAACAGCAGCAATATCTTTAAATTGAAGAAATATAGCATTTACCTTAACTTTGTAGTCAGGATATTCACCAAGAGCATCTAGCAGGCATGGAGCACTAAGCTTTGCAATCCAACGGGCTGCAGCAACCATTCCACAGTGTGCATATCCTAAAACTAAATTGCTAATCCCACCATCATGTAAAACTGAATGATGGAAAGGAGCCACTGCACCAGTTGCTGCTGTTAGTGTATCTTTTATGCTGTGAGTCCCACGAATCAATAGAAGGAAACACTTCAAACCGTTATCACGTATGATTGTGAAAGCGGGCTTTAGAACCTGCAATTGTTTCAAAAATAAAACAAATAAACATACATGATGTGCTAATATTGCAGTATTACATAGATTACAATAGATTTAAATTAAATACAATATGCTGTGTAGCTGTACGTAAGCTACAAAATGTGAAACTGCAGCTGGTGGCGCAATTTTTATGCATGTCAACAAACACAATCTACACTTTCTAAAAATTATCTCCTTTCTTTAGCCAAAAACTAAAATTGACTCCATAGAGCGACATACCCCTGCTTTGGGCTTCTGAAGCAGAACATCTTCCTCAGTGTAACCAGCAGCTTCTAAAAAAACCGGAAATGGCTTCTTTGAGAAAAACATACAAAGAGTCAGCAACCTCAAGAGGCTATTCAACTCCCTGATAATTTCGGGTCCCTTCAGCTCCACAGAATTATTTCCTGCATACACAGTTGCAATTTGTGAATTTCCCTGCAAGAAAACAAAGCACAATTAATACCTCAACCACACAAAGTGACAAAGTTGATTGCACAAATCACACTATTAACTCAATATAAGAGGCAAAAAGCAAACAACTTTTCAAATACAAACAAATTGATTAGTAACAAACATTGAATTTTCAAGAAAAAAGCAGGTCCTCAAACAAGCACCAACCTGCCTCCTCATGAGATAATTGATGCCAAAAGCCAAGTCACCAATGGGCCATTTTCCGAGCGTCTCCGAATATGTAAACCTCAAGGTCTCGGATATCGTAGCTATCGCCTCAAACCACGTGGCCGGCGCCTGAGCAGGCCGCCTCGCTATCCTTCTCTTCAACGATCTACTCGATTTCGACAAACCATCCTCCTCCTCCTCTCCCTCTCCCCCTCTTTTCGCCGCTAACCTCCTACTTAACACAAAATACAGTATCACGGCTGCACCCGCTGCCGTCGCCATTGTCCCCGCCGCCATAATTACAACCGCTTAGATCTCAGAAGACAATAATCAGATGGAAACCACGAAAAACGAAATCAATCAATCAGGGATAATCCAAAATCTTCTCTCGAAAACACATACAAAATTGAAATGTATTCATAATTAATTGGAGAAATTGGGGGATTTGAGAGGAATTGCAGAGGGAAAGAAGGTGATATTGCTTTTGGGGAAGATGAATAAAGAGAGAGAGAAATGAAAGGGGTAAAACGTAAAATTACTAAAAAGAACAGCCAAGAGTTTTGGGGATTGAAGGGGAAGCAGCTGGAATTTTTTTTTCTTTTGTAAACAAAATTAGTCCCTTTCAAAGATTCAAATAAAAAAAAAAAGTCCCCTTTATCATTTGGATAATGTAAAGGAATAACTTAAATCAATATATTTTGCAAATTAAAATGTTATGATAATTAGAAAATTTAAATGTTTAAATTATCATATAAAAAAATTTATTAAGT